TAGCAACCCAGTGACGAGGCAAAGGAAACATACACTCTGTAAGTAGGTCAAACTTAATGTTTTATCCTTTAAGGATAAAAAAGAATAGGCTACTTCCACAGGAAACAATCACATGATGAATATTCAGAGTAGCATTATTCATAATGACCACAAAGTGGAATATAACCCAAACCTCTACCATTTGACACCTGACTGCTAAAACGTGCCCTGTGCATAGAATGGAACCATGAATTGACAACAAAAGGAAAGGAAATGCTGATAGCACGCCAACTACACCATGACCCCTGAACATATCATGCTCCCCACATGAAATGACATAAAAACACCTTCTATTGCTTCACTCCATTCAGTGATATGTTCACAAAATAAGCAAAACACAGAGAGATATCACTTAGTGATTGCATGGAGCTGCTGCTGAGGTGAGTGAGGTTTCTTTAAGGGGGAACAAAACTGTTCCAATTGCATGATACAGGATTTGAATCTCAATAAAATTGTTCAAAATAAAATGTAAGAACTGGGCCTAGCACAATGGCCTAGGGGCTAAAGTCCTCCCTTTGCATATGCTGGGATCCCATGTTCGTATCTCGGCTGTTCCATTTCCCATCCAGCTCCCTGCTTGTTGCCTGGAAAAGCAGTCAAGGATGGTTCAAAGTCTTGGGACCCTGCACCCGCGTGGGAGACCTGCAAGACGCTCCTGGCTTCTGATAGACTCAGGTCTGGCCTTTGCAGCCATTTGGGGAATGAACCAGAGGATGAAAGGATCCTTCTCTCCCCTCCTCTCTGTATATCTGACTTTCCAATAAAAAAAAAAAAATCTTAAAAAAAAAAAAAGAACTAAGGACATCATAGAAATGGATCCCAATCCTCAATTTCTTCTCATGTCATATTCAGTGTATTGCAAGTAACTATAGCTGTTGTGAGAGAGCAGCATGACTCTTTTAGGCAAACGTGGAGCATTGTGGCTCTATTAATGTATGTTAGAATGGTAGGGTCCACAGTTCTCTAAGTTAGCAGTACCATGCAGCTGTTTGAGCTAATCATTATGAAGGATGTCAATAAGGATCAAAAATTAATCAGTTTGCACTTGAAAGAATTACTCATTTGTTAGAATAATGTTTTTTCTTCAGCATTTTTTTTTTCCATTTAAAAAGTAATTCCACTCTGGTCCTCGCTTGGTTCTAACCTTGGGTCCCCACCCTCTTTTGCAATGACCATCAGGATCGCTCCAGAAACCCCTCAAAACTAACAAACAACACTCTAGATACAGAACGACAAGGAAAGTGTGGAATCAGACAGGAAACGGTCAGCGTGGATTCACTTACACCTTACCAGGTGGGACACAAAGATTAGTTACTCCTCACTAGGGTATTGAGGATTTGTCTGCACACCCCTCCTAAAACTGTTCTGCACCCAAACTGTTGACATATGTCTTGTTAGAGTTGTAAAGCAGTCTAGACTACCCAGAAAAAATAAAAAGCAAAGTTTAACAAAATTATGCTTCAACGCTCTATAATGCTAAATGCGATAATGAAAATAGACACAAGACAGCTGAATAGGAATTTATAGCCATTTTAAGGTGTATAGAACCCGGTTGTATATAAACTAAAATTGAAATGTCAACAAAGGAGTCACAGGATGTGGTAAAGAACTTGCATTTTTTTTAACATGTTGATTACTCAATACTATGTGAACTAATTTCATAACATTATAAATTGTTGCTAATGTTATGTAGGGGGTTTTAATTGATAGGGATGATACTCTGCTGGCTCTACCTTCAGACCAGAGATGGTCTCCCCAACAAGCCATTGAATTTGTCTGGACAATAAGATGCTGGACTCTATGCTTGGTATATGCTTGCAATGAAAGAATCTCATGTGAACTTAACAAGGTGGAGGAACCCACAATGGGGGGAGGGTTTGGGGGGGGGGGAATCCCAGAGCCTATAAAACTGTGTCACATAATGCAATGTAATTAATAAAAAAAATAATAAAAGTAATTCCAGAATGTTCCTTGAAGTCTTGCTTTCATTCAAATGTAGGTCTTAGCCTCACTTTCAGATACTGTCTCAGACCTTTTAAAATGTATTTTTCTCTCTTGTCCATAAGCCCTGATTAGGAACATGTGAATCATTATTTATTAAACCGCACTGAGGTTGTAAATAGCGTGTGAGAAAGGGAATATGAGGGTGAACAGGTGGCAATGCTGCCGTCTCCACACTCGGTCAAGGTCAGCATTTCTTAGGGAAGCATTCCTGGTATCTGTGCTAATGAATTTCATGGTTCCTCAACTGGTGTGTGTGTGTCCAAGTGCATCTGGCTTGTGCTGCTGACTGACTGTCAGCTTTCCATAAAGACTCGTTTCCCCTTCCAGCTTCCGTCCTGTGGGCGTGTGCATGCCAAAGTGTAATTCAGCTTCACGGTTTTGTGGATAGACCGGTTACATTGCCTTGTGTTATGTCTGAGGAAGCGGAGGCTCTGCAATGGTAAGGAACCTTGGTTTGGTTGTGTTACCAGAAAATGAGGTTTCTAGTTGGAAGTGAAACCTCCTGATTCCTATTTATTTTAGTGACGTAGCTTGTTCATTTTCCAACCTTCAACCCCTATCTTTTCAAATCTTACACTCAAGAAAAAGTTTCGACATGGAATGTCATTTTCTTAGAATGACTTTTAAGCCGCAAGAGGTGGCCATCTGTGTGGCATTAGTGGAGGGAGGAAAAGCAGAAGAGGGCCTTTCTTTAGGCCGTTCATCTTCCTAAGTAACAATACAAGCTCAATTACTTCTCCTGCTCAAAATCCACAGTTTTGTGTAAAAGCAGCACACAGCACTAGAGCTCTGACCTAACAGATTTTAGGAGAGCAATTTCAAAATCATTGGAAACTGATTTTTCACGATTGTCTCTCACCTGGACAACAAATCTCCCAATTTTCCTGCTTCTGCTGTGGATTCCAAAAAATCATTCTCTCCTTGAAAGACCTTAAAAAAAAAAAAAAAAGGAAACTATAGCTCGCTCTCTATAACTCTCTCTCTTACATCAAACTATAGAATGCTCGTCATTGCACTACCAACCCCTTTCTTGGCTAACAGAGCTCTATGGGATCTGGCCAATTTTTGCTTCTCTCTCTCTCTAGAAGCTTCTTTCCTCTTTCTCTTTCTCTCCCACCCCCGCCCCAAAGCACTACAATAGGCTCCCATCAGAGTCTTCCTCCTCGCTTCGGGCTGCTCTGACATTAACAGTCCATCCAACTGGGCACCATGGCACAACTCATTGAAATCTCTTTGCAGGCAACAGGATATTTATTTTTTTCTTCCTTCTTTTTCCCCGCCACTAAGCCACGTGTAACCTAGACTCCCTTCTCTCCCACCAGGTCAGCAGCCTCAAAGAGGTGCCTAACACCCGTAGCAACGTGAGGAATCACAGGGGCTGAGGGGAAATTTGTGTCTCTGGTCCTTGGTAAAATGACCTTTGGAAATTATAAACTCTTCTCCCCGTTGCTAGACCTTTCTAGAGCTTTGTCCCCATCCCCCTAGAGGGAGAACTAAGAGCCAGAATCAACATATCATTTCCCTTCTCTCAGAGCGTTTGTCATGACAAAAGCAAGGAGGCAAAGGCCCTACTAATCCCATCGCTGTCAAAGAGATGGTGCTTAAGTTTTCAGCTTATTAGAATGGGAGGAGGAGATCGCCAGTCCCACCTTTCCGATGTCCCTCGGATTTGGACAAGGCGCAACCTTGCTGCCCATTGTGGATGAAGGTTTTTTTTTAATCTTGCCCTTTCACTCATTTTGTTCCCCCTCCCCTGAGATGGCGAGGACACCACTTCCACCATTTTCCTCGTGTTTTTCCTTCCTCGGAGCGCCCCCTCCGTCACTGTGCCAAGAGACCTGTCTTTCATTCTCTTAAATAAATCTTGCCTTGCACACAAAGTTGTCCGCATGAAAATTATTTCATCTGAGACAACAATCCAGGTTGCAGTCATCTTCTGCGTCAAATTCCTCGCAACAGGAATTTGTTGAATGTAGACAGCAGCCTGCCCGCGCCACTCTCCCTAGTGGGGCAACACTTAACTCTGTCATGACGACACACCGACAAGGGTCTTGGCCACCGCTCAGGCGTCTGAGACACAGGTGCCATTGGAGACACAGCATGACTTGATTGGACTGACACCCTCCAAGGTTAAGTGTACACAATCTCTGGGGTCACAGCGGTACTTTCAGGCTTCGACGCAACGTCAAGACTTGGGGAGGAGCGCTAGGGCCCGGAGATGTGCTGGGGCTCATTCTCGGGGCTGCGATAGGGCCGGCGGGGTGGTGTGCTAGGAGGGGTCCTCCCCAGAGATGCTGGGGAGAAGGGGCGGAGCCAGCCGGGAGGATGGACCCTTCGGGGACTGTTACGTCCCGTAGCGCTGCCCACTGTGGCTAGGGTCCGGGGACAATCCGGCAGAAGGCACGTCTAGCTCTGCGGCGAAGAAGGAGCCTCACCGACGCCCGGCGGTAAGACCAAAGGGTCGAGGGAACCGGGTTAGGCCAACCCGGTGGAAGCTAGCCCAGGCCTGGGGAGGGGGGGTTACCAGCGGAAAGGGTTAAGCCGTTTCCGTGGCAACAGACCAGGAAGCGCGCAAGACGTCCGCCGCAGGTTCGTAGGTCAGCCTCGAGTTGAAAGCTCCCACGGGCTGAACGGGTTCTGGCCAATCGTTGGGCGTCGCCGGCGTCACGTGGTCGCCGTTAGCGGCCTTCGCAGCACGTGGGAAGGTTTTTCGCATTACTCTTTTTTTTTTTTTTTAATATCATTTAAGCCCACCCCCTTTTGCGCGGGCTTGGCCTCCTCGGGTGCTTCTCGCGAGAGACAGGGCCTCCTCTCGCGAGAGTGAGTGGGAGGCGTGGGGAAGAAGGCGGCGTTGCCGGCCGAGGCTGCGGCGGCGGAAGCCGAGGGGGTGGGCAGGGCGGGGGCGGGCCGCGGGGTAGGGAGGGCGGGGAGGGCCGGGGGCCGGTGCGGGTCGGGGCGTCCTGCTGCTCGGCCGGCGACAGGCTGGGGAGCTGCGGAGGCTGCCAGGTGAGCGTCGTCAGCCACGCGTGGCCCGGGCTCCCGGCGGCTCCCCGAGCCGGGGATGGATGGAGCGGCCTGTCTGGCTGCGGGGCTGCCGGAGACCTCTGCTCCTGGGCCGGGCGGCGGGTGTGTGTGTGGGGGGGGTCCTCGCGTGCGTGACGGGGCTTCCTGGGGGCGGGGGTCCTGAGTGGGGTGGCGGGGCCGGGGCCGTCGGTGCGTGTCCGCGGTCTGCGCGTGGGGAGCTGCTGCGGCAGGCTGGTCCCCCACAGCATCCCAAGCTGTCAGCACCCCCTTCGCCGGTGCCGGCCGTGTCGTTCGTGTCGTTTGAACGGAAGGCATCGAACGAGTATTTGCTGTCAATATCCTAGGTTGTTCCTTGCTTAAATGCTCGTCATTCATATGAAGCACATGTAATCAGTGCCCCCTTTCCCATCCCCCTTTTTTTAAACTTCTGGAAAATGACGTTAACATGTAAAAATCACCCCAGTGATGTGGCTTGTTTGCCTCCCATCATCCCGTCTCCTACAAATCCTTAATTGGAGGTGGTTCAGGCCCAGGTGTTAAGGGATTTCATGGTGAGAAACACTGCCGCGACATAGCTGATGGCCGTGTGCAAACTGGAGTTAAAAATTTCGGTTCTCTTTTCGGTTGTGTAATTTTTTTTTTTGATTACGTGCAAAACCCGCGAGTTTTCCTTAGCTCCTGCCAATCTTGTTAATTGATCGATACTGATTTTGGTATGTCTGAAAAATACTCAAAAAATAGAGTACTTAGAAAAGAAGGTACTCCAGGAGCGCGAAACTGATTTTGTTTTTTTAATATTTTGTTTATGATTTTAAGGTAAACGACTGCACAGTGCTCGGGACACTTGATGCCCGTTAAAACAGTGCGATTGAATGAGTCTTTTAAAGCAGAATCGTGTTTTTCCTCTAGCACTCTGGCTGATCATGCCTTTTGGTAATCCTCTATGCAGAAGTGTAACCCCGATGGTGAATGCAGTTAATTGTATTTGGGAGTTAATTGCAGCTGTGAGAAGGTGATTTATTTCTGAGAAACTAAATCATGTAAGTGGATTGGAACAGAAGTGGGTTCCGGGGCTGAACTGGTGGCTAGCCTGTGCATCTGCTTCACGATGTCACTGGTGGGCTGGGTAGGGGCTTGGAGCTGTGTCCTGCTTATTGATAGAGTTACGTGAGACCCAGAACCACGGGGACGGCTTCTCCAGCCTTCTGTAGCCTGTGGGCCACGGGGATTAGTCTAGAAACCAGTCGTTGCCTGAAGATACTAGACTGAGGATGCCATGGAGTTCATGTATACACATATATGTACATATGTACACACATATGAAAGCTCATTATTACCTGTATTAAGGGAAATAAATGGGCAGAGAAATTCTTGAAGAACATGTAGCAAATTTAGAAAATGGACTTTTGTGAATGGGCGAGAGAGACCTGTGTAGGCTAGGAAAGTTCTCTCCCATTACATCTTTGCAAAATGGAGTTTTAAAAAATAGAATGCTTTACCTATCATTATAACCTTATGCCATGGTTCCCCAGTGTTTAGGGCGTCTGTTTTATCTTCACTTTGAGAGGTAATTGAAGCAACTTTGGTTGGGGAAATGACTTACGTGTCTACTGATTTTTTGTGTGTGTGGGGGGTCAGGTTATTTTCATTTTAGCAGTAAAATTACTGGGAGGTGAAGGGAGGGTCAGGCTCATTTGGGGAGTGAATTAAGGGTGTAGAAAATAGTGGTGGAGGAAAGGGAGAGGGGAAGGCTTTATTAGTTGAAAACAGTCTGATCAGCTCTAAACATCCTCCTTTCATACATGAGTTTTCTTTTAAAAAAAGTATCTTCCGGGGAAAAAGTCATTTGACATGTGTGGGTTGGAGACTGAACATGATAAAAGGGGAGAAGGTGACCTTTTTTGACTAGTCTGAAATGTGTTGTGGGGGACGTAGACCCTGCCACACGAGGAGTGACCTGGAACGCTGAGAATGATACAGCGCGGCATGATGTAGAACTTGGATCCCGGAACCGGTCGGGTAGACAATGTTCATTAATGTCTCTGAGCTTCGTTTTCCTCTCCTTGGAATGGGTTCAGACCCCCACCATAGAGAGTAAGCACGGTAGCTGCTGACTCAGTGCTTTTGCTTTGACCTCTCTCAGTGGCCAGGGGAATTGGCTGATTTTAAAAATGGATTTGTCATGTAGATAGAGTGCTGCTTCTCAGGCCCGCTGTGTGAGGCCAGCCTTGCAGCCCGTAAAGCTCCAAGCTTTCAGGCTGTTCCTGGTCTGTTTTCCTGTGGGGCTCGTCTCTGTTCTTCCCTGGTTGTTTCAGTTTCTTTTGGTCTTCTCTTGAAAGCTCCTGGTAGACAAAGCTTCCCTGGCTTCAGTTTACCATGGTACCAACGCCAGCTTCGCGGTGGCTGCAGCACGTTGCCCAACGCTGACCTCTGAACCTTAGCTCCCAGGTTCTGGAGTGGCAGCTCAGAGGGTCAGGTCTCTGCTTCTAGCCCAGTTGGCTGGTGTTAGGGGAAGATGGAAATGGGAACTTAGGATAGACCCCCTTTATGGGGCTGTACTTTTAGGCTTGCCATTACTAAGTTGCCCAAGAAAAGCATAGTGGACAGGAAAAATCGATGGGTATCGCTGGTGTACTTGCAGTATCTGTGCCTCCTTCAGCTCAAGTTCTCCTAGCACGACACTGAACTGCTCTCATTTTGCAGATAGTCTAAGCAGGCCCATCTGGTACTTTTTAGGACAGATTCCTCTAGGCGTGGGAGTAAGGCAGGCTACCTAGCTGACTTGCACCTCAGTTTCCATGTGTTTTAAATGAATATAATAACAACACCTGTTATGAAACTTGTGGCTTGAAAGCAGTCATCAATGGCTGGCTGGCACGTGCAGGCATAGTACAAGGGGGGTGGTGTTGCTGCTATTAAACAGGTACCGCATGGGAGACTGGCTGCGCTGTCACACTGCCCTTTAGCGACTTTTTTTTTTAATAAAACAAAACCCTTTCCCCTTTTTTAAAGATTTGTTTTGTTTTGTTTTGTTTTGTTTTGTTTAGTTGGAAAGTCAGATATACAGCGAGGAGATGAGACAGAGAGGAAGATCTGTCCGCTGACTCACTCCCCAAGTAGCCGAAATGGCCAGAGCTGAGCCACGCTGCAGCCAGAAGCTCCTTTTGGATCTCGCATGCAGGTGCAGTGTCTCAAGGCTTTGGACCGTCCTGGATTGCTTTTGCAGGTTACAAGCAGGGAACTGGAATGGAAGAGGGGCAGCTGGGACACATCCGGCGCCCATATGGAATCCCGGCATGTGCTAGGCCAGGACTTTAGCCACTAGGCTACAGCACCAGGCTCAATGGTTCATTTTACACTCCCTGGAACCCTTTATCGTGGTTGTCTTTGATTTTCTCCTGATCTTCTTTCTGTTGTTCCCTTGTTTCTTGAATAGGCTTTGAAGTTTTATAAATCAGAGTGATTCTTCAACTAATGTTTCCGGCTCCTACTGAGTCTGTTCGTTCTAGTTGCCTTTGGGTGTTTTGATTTGGGCATAAAACACTCCCTTCCAGTTACCCTGTGCTTGGCAAAGAGATTGTTTCTACCTCTCCAGGGTTGCAATCTTGAAGTGCCCTATGGCGTTATACTCAGCAGGTTTTCTGTGGGGTCCCCGCGTGCCTCCTTTCTGTGAGCACCAGGTCATCTCCACAGCAGAGCCCTTCAGTGGTTCCTGCCGTTGGCGGCTGAGCCTTACTATGTTTGTATTGGCAAGACCTGCCTATTTCAGGAACACTGCTAGAGTCAGGAAGGGACAGGTGTCACATAAAGCAAGAAAAGTGTGTTTCTGGATTCTGCGTGTATTTTTTGTTCAGTTTTGTAGAGGGGATTTTTGTGTAAGAGGGAGACCATTGAACTTCTAGGAAGTTTTAAATTGATCATTGTATAGGAGTTTTGAAGCCAATTTTAGTTACAGTTAGTATTTTCCCTCTCTGCCGCATCATTACTCTAGATACCAGGGACTGCTGCTGGCACAAGATGGACCTTTGAAGTGGATCATAATCCAGAGTGTCATTGAGAGACCCATAACTTTTTTCTGTGGATGTTTAAAACAGGCCAGATGTCCCTGAGTTACTTTTGAAGCAGTCATTGGGTAGCTTGCCTGGAGTGCTTTGTATTTAGTAGTGTTAGTTTGCCACTACTTGTCCCTTTGAATATCGTGTCGTTGGTGAGCTTCCCTTCAGGTTACCACTTGAACGCACGTGGTTGTTGATCCTGGTGAAGGCCTCGGGGAATGCAGAGATGAGTTGGGAATGGCCTTAGAACGTGAGCTCCAGAGACCAGGGACTTTTCACTGTCCTGTACTAATCACTGTTTCGCACATAGCTGGAAATCTTGGTTAATTACAGTCCAAGGCCGGGTGGAGACTTGCGTACTTTTGACTGTTACGTAAGACTGTAGTCTCAAGTGCTAAAATAGGGCAGTGATAGTTTTGCTCCCACGGTGACATTTGGCAATGTTTGGACACATTTTTTACTTACCACAACTGGGTGGGTGCTACCAGCATCTAGAGGCTAGAGGCCAAGGATGCTGTTAAGTGTCCTACAATGCAGACAGTTCCCTAACAGAAAGACTTATCTAACCAGGTGTCAGCAATGCCAGGGTTCTTATCCTGAACAGGAAGAGCACGGTGTACAGCGTGCATGCAAGAATGAGATTGATTTAGGATTGAAAAGCAAAAGGGCAGAAACTACAAAGAAGCCAAGTGTCTTAATGCACATTAGGACATCCTGAAATATTTTTTTATGATTGATTGTCATTTTGGAAGATCTAGCAGTTTTGACCAATTGCTGTAGTGTTTTCCATTTTTTAGATTGATGCATAAGGAGGGAGTTAGTTCTTTTTTTTTTTAATCGGGCGCCATCTTGTGTAGGGAGGTAATGGCCATCAGGAGTTAGTTTTTGAATTCCCACTGTATCACTTGCTATTTTTATTATTGCTGC